ACAAGAGCGATTGGCCCTCCAAGAGCTGAACAGGGACACAGACATCATGCTTCCAGCCGACAAAAACAACACGACACTAGTCATGAACACATCAGATTATATAAAAAAAAAATGGAGAATCTTTTCTCGGACAAAGCATACAAAAAACTTAACAAAGATCCAATTAATACAATTGCACAGAACATCAAGATCCAAATGGAGAAAAGCAACATTCCCAGTAAAACCAAATCAATATTAAAATCTACAAATCCTCTCTCATCAAAACTACATAGACTATCAAAAGTATACAAACCAAACATCCACCTCAGACTGATTGTCAGCGCTATACACTTACTGACAAACAACTTATCCCGCTTCCTAGCACAAACACTACAACCCTTCGCTGGAAAATCCGAATTACACATAACTTAACGGGCTTCATACAAAAGATCGAAAAAATCCGAATTACGTCCCACAGACCTGCTTGTAAGTTTTGACATAGAATCCCTTTCCACGTCCCAATAAAAGACACATTAAACATAATAAAGGCCTCACACAAAGTCCGACCTCATCTCGTTAATAGAGCACTGCTTAACAACCACTTATTTCCCTTATAACAACCAATTTTATAAACAAACTTCAGGAGCAATGAGCTCTCTTATTTCTCCTGTAATCGCTAACATCTTTATAGAGCATTTTGAGAAAGAGGCCCTCAGAAAAATACTCAAAAAATCAGAAGTTTAGTTCCGTTATATAGACGACACATTCGTGATATGGAGATACGGCAGAGTCAAACTCCGTAAATTCTTTATTTTTCTCAACAATCAACATCCAAACGTCCACTTCACTATAGACATAGAGGAAAACGGGAAACTCTCCTTCCCAGATGTTCTTGTCTTTAAGAAAGCTAATGGTACCTTAGGCCATCAACTGTACAGAAAAACAACCAACACACACAGATAGATACCTACATGTCGAGTCACACTACTACCCTTTTTGTACTGACAAAAACAGTCTGCAATCAACTCACTTGTACATACAGCTTTCACCTCATTTCTGATCAACTTTTTGCCAAATTTTGCCAAATTTTTTCACATTTCTTTATTTCTATCAAATACCCTTAGTTTTACGCATTTTTGAAAAACATAGAATACATATCATTTAGGTTATGAGCCATAAGAGTTAATTCATCTTAAAAAATGATTACTGTTTTTTAAGAAGATTTAAAAATAAGACTTGAGTTTTATTGTTTAAAAGTAGTTATACTACATTGCTGTTTCAACAAAATGTATTTTCTATTTAAAATTTGCGCAATTTAAAGATTTCACACATTTTGTAAAAAAAAATATTCTTACTTTAATAATTCGGAAAATATTAGAATTGATTTAGAAGAAAAAATCTTTTTTTCAAAAACCACATACAAGCACGTAGATTTGGCACCTGTTTTATTTTTTTGTAAATAAGATAATTTTGTCTTGATATCATGCATTTTGTACAGTTGATATAGCAGCACTAAGTTTTTTTACTGTAAAAGTTTTTATTTGAAATGAATTATTACACTTTATACTTTTATTTTTCTAATTCTTTGTAATTAAATTTTAATTAATTAGTTAGAATAATAAAATATAGATCACTTTGATTGAAATATATCTTTAAATGAGAATAAAAAGTTTTAGTATGTACTACTTAAGCCTTATTTTTAAGAAATAAAAGTTTGTAGTACGTTTGGAATATAATTTTTTGCACTTTGGTTTTATTTTTTAATAGAAGTAGTACGACAAAAATATTTGAAGAAAATGTACATATGCTTGTAATTGATGCAATTTAGAGATTTCATATATTTTTTGAAAAAATTGTATATTTGAATTGAATAAAATAATATATAATTTTCTAATATAATTATTTTATTAAGACTTTAAATACAAAGCGCCTTCCCGGTCCGAGTGTTAAGATGTTGAACTACTATCTAATATACATTCAATTAAATTGAATTAAAATTTCAGAAATAAATTGAGAGCCGATGAAATTATCGGATTCACACAATCAATCTGAAACAAATAATCCCCCCAAATTCTCCCAAATCTTAAAAAAC